ACTGATGAATCAACTGATGAATGAACTGATGAACTGATGAATGAACTGATAAATGAACTGATGAATCAACTGATGAACTGATGAATGAACTGATGAACTGATGAACTGATGAACTGATGAATGAACTGATGAACTGATGAACTGATGAATGAACTGATGAACTGATGAATGAACTGATGAATGAACTGATGAACTGATGAATGAACTGATGAACTGATGAATGAACTGATGAACTGATGAACTGATGAATGAACTGATGAACTGATGAATGAACTGATGAATGAACTGATGAATGATGAATCAATGATGAACTGATGAACTGATGAATGAACTGATGAACTGATGAATGAACTGATGAACTGATGAATCAACTGATGAACTGAACTGATGAATGAACTGATGAATGAACTGATGAATGAACTGATGAACTGATGAATGAACTGATGAACTGATGAATGATGAACTGATGAATGAACTGATGAATCAACTGATGAATGAACTGATGAACTGATGAATGAACTGATAATGAACTGATGAATCAATGATGAACTGATGAATGAACTGATGAACTGATGAATGAACTGATGAACTGATGAATGAACTGATGAACTGATGAACTGATGAATGAACTGATGAACTGATGAATGAACTGATGAATGAACTGATGAACTGATGAATGAACTGATGAACTGATGAATGAACTGAAACTGATGAACTGATGAATGAACTGATGAACTGATGAATGAACTGATGAATGAACTGATGAATGATGAATCAACTGATGAACTGATGAACTGATGAATGAACTGATGAACTGATGAATGAACTGACAAATGAACTGATGAATCAACTGATGAACTGATGAACTGATGAACTGATGAATGAACTGATGAACTGATGAATGAACTGATGAATGAATGATGAATGAACTGATGAATGAACTGATGAACTGATGAATGAACTGATGAATGAACTGATGAATCAACTGATGAACTGATGAATGAACTGATGAACTGATGAATGAACTGATGAATGAACTGATGAACTGATGAATGAACTGATGAACTGATGAATGAACTGATGAATGATGAATGAAACTGATGAACTGATGAATGAACTGATGAATGAACTGATGAACTGATGAATGAACTGATGAACTGATGAATGAACTGATGAACTGATGAATGAACTGATGAATGAACTGTTAAATGAACTGATGAATCAACTGATGAACTGATGAATGAACTGATGAACTGATGAATGAACTGATGAACTGATGAACGAACTGATGAATGTACTGATGAATTGATGATGAACTGATGAACTGATGAACTGATCAATGAACTGATGAACTGATGAATGAACTGATGAACTGATGAATGAACTGATGAACTGATGAATGAACTGATGAATGAACTGATGAATGAACTGATGAACTGATGAATGAACTGATGAATCAACTGATGAACTGATGAACGAACTGATGAATGTACTGATGAATTGATGAATGAACTGATGAATGATGAACTGATCAATGAACTGATGAACTGATGAATGAACTGATGAACTGATGAACGAACTGATGATGTACTGATGAATTGATGAATGAACTGATGAACTGATGAACTGATCAATGAACTGATGAACTGATGAATGAACTGATGAACTGATGAATGAACTGATGAATGAACTGATGAACTGATGATTAACTGAAAATTTCAGGGAATTATGATGTTTCATGAAAATTCTGATTGGTTTCAACAGAATCAGGAAGTGGCAGAAGCTGCCAGTTGAGGAACTTCTTGGTAACTTTGGGAATCCTGCTGTGGATCATCGTGGCACTCGAATTGTCAACATCTCGTAAATACAATCAATATTACATATTTTACTGGTTACTCTTTTATCAAAAATATCTTGGGAAGACGTTGCTGCGGCGGCGTAGTAGTTTAGCACAACCCACATATAGAGGCCTTAGTCCTCGACGCGGCTGACGCAGGTTTGATTCCCGGCAACATTTGCCACATGTCTTCCCTCTCTCCTTACTTTCAAAAAATATACGGGCCACTACAGCCAACAAAAATCCTTGGAGAAAAAAAAATCTCTGGAATAAAATATAATTCATTTCTCTCTGATTCCAAGTCGGCACGACCCACAAGGTTACATTTTGTTTTGTAGGCAAATGAATGTTTGCTCTCAAATCAGTAAATAACATTTTCAGATGATAGTTTTTCTGAGTCTTTTAACAGACAGTCCTGACAATCATAAAGTTTGGTTTTTGGAGTGACTCAAACTGCAGATAAACAAACACGTGGAAAACTCTCTGAATTCTAAATCAGTCAGTGACTGCAGTCCAGAGCCATCATGGCTGCTCCATCAAACGTCTTTAAATATTTGCTTTGTTCATAGACAGCGAGCTGACATGGCGGACACGTGACAAATGTCTGGGCAAAGGTTCACCAGCGTTTCTGATTTCTGAGATTATGTGGCGTCTCCAAAATCTTTAACAGGGCGACTGTCAGTCTGTTCTGGTTTGGCATCACTGGATGTTTGGAAATATTACAGTTGAATTACAAACCCAAATTCAAAGTCCGGTGAAGATGGCAAGTGAGATCATCAACACTCTGGATCTGTCCTCTGTCTGATCAGGTGCAACCAGAACATCCAGGCTGATGGGATGTGACCCATCAGCCTGGATGTTCTCATGGATTCAGGAGAAGGTTCAGTTTCCTCTGTGGAAATAGAACCGTCTGAAACATTTGCTTGGACCCAGACCCAGTTCTACATGACCCCACCTAACCCCATAACCCTGACATTAACCCCCAATCCCAACTCTGACCTCCTGTCAATCAGCCTGGTAAACTGCCGACCACCATCTGGACCAGATGTGACTGTAACAACTTTAGAAAATATGCTTTTATTTATTTTTATTATCATGTTGAAATTCCACCAAATCCTGATTAATTCTGAAGAATCTTATGTTCCTATTATATTTTAAGAATGTTATTATTATACTTATTCTGATAAGCACCAGTATCTGTACTGTAAGAGAGCTTCTTATGACATCAGTACTGTACTACCTTCAGTTGGCGCTAGGCTGCCTGAGAAGAGGTTGGAAATTTTCTTTGCTTTTGGTTGAGCTCACATTTTATGAAATATTTGAAATAATTGTATGTACATGCAGCTGTGAATGTCTATTTGTTTTAATACAAACAGAGGAGCATTCTTTCGGACGAGTTAAGAACATTTTACTTAAATGTTAGGCCAGATATTGTTATTAGTTATTAGTTAGTCACAGGGTTTCTCCATGTGCTTACCTGCTAGGGGAAGAGCTGCAAGTTAAAGGACATTTTTATTTCTTTTTGTCCAGGCCTCTGCCAGTGACCTGCATTAAAGAACAACCAGCAACTCCTGTGATCCGACTCCCTTCTTCAATTCAACATATCAAGGTTAACCAGTTGTATAAGACTAGGTTGCCAGAAAACAACTCTTTTAGTATACCGGTTACATGACCAAGAGTAGAACTCAGAGGATGTGAATGGAGATGGTTATGGGGATGAACAGGTGGCAGTTGGACTGCAGACAGCCAGTCTACAGGCTCTCTATGCCTGGCGCTGCTCTAAGCCTCTATTCTTCTAACCTTTGCTGACGTTTTCAGTTTCTCTTTGGAAAATTATTCACATTTTCATACAATTTGAGCTGCCTGACAAACTCATCTGGTTCACTTTCTTTCATTTTGTTGGAAACATCAGTTTTGTCAGGTGTTTGCGACCAGTGGACTGGCATATTCAGTCTGACTTCAGCTGGAAGCCGTTATGAAGTTAGTGAGAAGCTCAGCCTGCTCTGCACCTTCCCAGTCAGGAAATGGCTGAAGCTTAATTCCAATTTCTAATTTCTCACTACCTTCAGCTTCATTAATCTACTACAACAGCTCTAATAGCAGAATATCTAGAGCCGCCTCATGTCTCCAAGGCTCTGCTCCCTGTTGGCCCAGTTTGACTTTTCTTTTCTTTCTGCTCCAGTCATTTGCCAGTAAAATAGAATAATCCAGTCCAGGTGTAGCAGTTTTTTAACTAGAGTAGATTAAAGAAGCTATTAGTTGGAATCAGCCTTTAAGCATTTTCTGAATCAAAAAGCAGCTGCAGCAGGTGATGCAGCAGGTGATGCAGCAGGTGATGCAGCAGCGTCACCTGCTGCAGCTCCACCGGCGGTTAGAGTCGCTGCCACCATTTGAGCTCATAATCACAGTAAACTGATCTGGTCCCACAGGGCACAACGGGTCAGAACAGCGGTTCTGATGGTCTGTGCCTACCTGGTGGCGACGCACACATGGATGCTACGTCACACTCTGCTGACTCAGCACATGTCTGATAAATCCAGTTTCGTTTCATGTGTTTTATTTCATTGCAGATTACAGTAATCTTTATTTAACTGATTTTATACCAGGCTTTCAGTAAGTTGTTGGATGACTTCATGGTTTACTTTTCATAAAAGCAGCTAGTAAATATAATTATGGCTTTAGTTTAGTCTGCAATGTTGTTACTGTGAACAAGTTATTATTTGGCCCTTACTCAGGACTAAATATGTTGTTTTGTGGTTATTTCGTCCCTATATTTTAAAATATTTGAGCTTAATTACTCTTATATTATTAGACTTTGCTGAATAGATGTGGGACTGAAGCTGCAATAGCCTATAATATCAGTGCATATCAATCATATGCAGCTCGATGACACATTATGGCTCATTTTAATTAAGTCTGTCATACAACAAATGAAAGGAGTTGTGATGATCTGTATTTGTCTTTAATTCCAATAAAAAGCAGTTTCTCCATCTGATGCTGTTTTATTCTTACAAACTCTGAATTTAAAACATGTCTAACATGCTAGTAGAGTTAGCTATCTATCTGAACCACAGAAGGAAAATCTGACAAGGTAGCATTGATAGTCAGAACAGCGGTTCTGGTCTAACGGATCAGAACCAGCAGGCGGCAATGCTCCACTTACGTATTCCCAGCCGCCAAGGTATGAGAAGGCGAGGATGAAGGCGATGATGGGGTTGCCACGGTGAAGCTCATCACGGAGACATGGACCTGCAGGAACATCCATGTTGTCATGGAGACAGCACGGTGCCAGGTACTGAAGGGCCTCCGCGGGTCAGAACCGGGCTCCACATGGAAACTCACCACAAACCACAGATCTTTGCCAAACATCTGGACCTGGCTTGGTCTTCTCTGGTACCGAGCCACAATCATCCCCAGCGGACCAAAGGTCATCCAGGCGAGCAGCATCAGGCAACCTGGAGGTCACAGGGTCGTTAGCTGCCAGCAGCTAACGGCTCCCGGTTGGCCGTCCGATGGCTAACGGCTCCTCTAAACCAATACTGGTCAAGCATCTTCTTATCTGCCACAAACTGCGATTCATCGTGTGTAGCGCCTCCACTTGGTAAGTATATGAACAGAAAAAACAAACTTTTCATTCAAATTTGTTTTTGGTAGCTAACACTTTTAGTTTGTAGGAAAAAATAAGAAAATTATTTAGTCTACCAAGGGGGAAATTTTCTTTGACTTTAAACAATAAACATTCATAGAATCACAATCAACAATTTGTGCATCGCGTAAAGCATTTTGTACACTATGGGCAAATGTTCAATTGGTTAAGAAATTATTGCACTGCCTATAAATGACTTCTAATCGATATTCTCAGTCACCAGAAACACAATGATGCCTTCAGGAGGTCAGAGGTCAAACTGATGAAAACGAGGATGAGGAAGACTCACCGTGGGCTCTGATCATCTGCTCCTTTCCATCACTTTGCATCACATTAGGAGATGTCACGCCACCTTGTGGCTGCTGCTGTAAGCTTTCTTGTGCTCCATGATGACCCCTGTTGGACACAGAAGAGCCAGAGGACAGTTTTTATGAATATTTGGGTTATAAACTCAAACTATATTTTCAATAATTACTGATCTTCATATTGTCATTGATGACTTGGTGGTTTGGCCATTTGTAGCGCATGGTCAATCCTTTGCACATGAGAAATTTGATTTTGACCCATTTGGATTATCATTCAATCAATCAATCAATCAAATTTGATTGATTGCAACAGCAAGGCATTTCAAAGTGCTTTACATTATGAAAACATAACATCATGCAACTTAAAATGAATTTGTGATTTCAGTCATAATTTATTCCAGTATTTAAACTGGCTGGCCTGCGTAGCCTCAAGAGAAAAAACCCTCAATAATAATGACATTGAACAGCAATAATCATGTGCTGGGTGATCAAAACACACGAGTTGAGCCATTTGATGAACTGCTTGATACACCTGTGACTCTAAACAACAAGTTTCTGCTGCAGGCTGCTAGATTCTGGTTCCATGGCCGGCAAGTTGAGTGAAAAGGTGGAACAAATGATGCTGAATTACAACTCACCCTAACCCCATAGATCCAGATCTATAGATCTAGACCTATAGATCTAGAGCTGTATAGCTCTAGATCCAGAGCTATAGATCTAGAGCATCCAGACAGCAGCAGCTGGAGCTTCACCAACTCATCATTTTTTCCAGGGTTTTATGATTAATGGTTTAAAATGGGTCATTTTTTCTGCATTTTTTTTGTTTGGGTCCAGCTTTGGTTCTGGCTTCAGAGTCGATGTGCAGATTAACCCTCTGATTTGATGAATTTTCTCTGAAAAGAAGCTGAAAACTTGTTGCATTAGACTGAAGTTCAGGAGGTTCAGTCTCTGCAGGGTTTGTGATTCTGTCAACTGCTGCAGATAAAGATGGAGCTTTGTGGATGATTTTGTTTATGACATCTGCAAAGAAAGCTTCTCTTGCATGTTTTAGTGTTGACTGATAGTTGCTCACTGTGTCTTTCTTTATAGATGTCATAACAAACATGAAGTTGACTTTTTTCTCGTAGGCGCTTACAGACAGTCTGAGGTGTGACGTGTCTGTTCTGCAGACCAATAGTCTCATCAGCTGTGCGTGTTGCTGGTCTCAGCTGATCCCAGGCTCAGAGTCACACGTGGTGATCTTGTGCTGCAGTGGTCACATGAGGATGGGTGGATTTGCAGGACAGCCAGTCTGTTGGAAACCAACCCTTAAACAGCCAGTGGTTCGATAATGGACATTGAGCCATTCAGTTACTGCTCTAGTGGACGTCCCTGCATCCAACATGCCAATGGCACGCTCCCACATAACTTGAGACATCTGAGGCTTTATGAACTGTGCCCACATTAATATTTTGGGGGCTTTTATTGTCCCCAGTCCGAGAATTGTGCAGCTGTTGCTCATTTTGTCTGATCACCTGCAGGACATGTCCCACCTCTGCACTGGCTAAAAACAACTTATTGAGTAATGGCTCACTGACAGCAGGTTGGATTAAAAATTATAGACAGATCAAGACAGATATAACTTTGGTACAAAAAATGTCAGCAAATGGCCATTTACACTTGTTAGCTCCACATGGCAACAGTATTTGACATGGGGCATTTATATTTTTGTTCAGTATAGATGATTCTGACAAGGATCTGCAGAGTCAGGGTCTTCCTACCTACCATTGGTGCTGGGTCCATAGGCCAGCAGGAGGTGGAAGAATTTGTCAGAGCTGAAGTTGGAGCTCCTGGAAGTGAAGATGGCGTTCTTGGAGGTGAATGTGCAGGCCAGGACCTTGTTCTGGTTGGAGATCTGTATATCTGAGACATGTCCCTGCAAGAGACATTCACTGGTCATCATCTGAGGTCAGGAACCAACCTCTGGACGCTCCTCAACCAGGACGTTCTGGTGGGGATGAAGTACCTTAGATTGAATCACCGGAGCTTTCCGTCCAACAGAGAAGGCCCGCTGCACATCAGCAATTCCAGCGCTGCTCAGGGCACAGAGGTAGATGTCATCGTTACCCTGAGGATGGAGACAAGAGCAGAAACTGAACCGTCTGCTTGGACCTTCTCAGACACTGCAGCACTGAAAAGGTGTTGATAACCAACATCTGATTTGGTTCTCCTCACCATCTTCCGATCATCTGACCACCCAAAAGCTATGTATCCTTCAGCAGGTCCGCACAGCTCGTACCGGACCCCGGATTTGGGCGGAGTCAGAAGCCTGGCTGACATGAAGAAGCATTTGGAGCTGATGGCCGGATTACATTTTGGGGGCTGGCTGAAGCACAGCTTGGTGGAACCGCAGCCGACATTAGAGATGGACTGCAGGGAGACAGCGGACCAATCATCAGAGGATCCTGGGCAGTGGAGGGAACTGGTTCTGACCCAAAGGAAGGAACTGGTTCTGACCCAAAGGAAGGAACTGGTTCTGACCCAAGGAAAGAACTGGTTCTGACCCAAGGAAAGAACTGGTTCTGACCCAAAGGAAGGAACTGGTTCTGACCCAAAGGAAGGAAACTGGTTCTGACCAAGGAAAGAACTGGTTCTGACCCAAAGGAAGGAACTGGTTCTGACTCAAAGGAAGAACTGGTTCTGACCCAGGAAGAACCGGTTCTGACCCAAAGGAAGAACTGGTTCTGACCCAAGGAAAGAACTGGTTCTGACCCAAAGGAAAGAACTGGTTCTGACCCAAGGAAAGAAGGTTCTGACTCAAGGAAAGAACCGGTTCTGACCCAAAGGAAGGAACTGGTTCTGACCCAAAGGAAGGAACTGGTTCTGACCCAAAGGAAGGAACTGGTTCTGACTCAAGGAAAGAACTGGTTCTGACCCAAAGGAAGGAACTGGTTCTGACCCAAAGGAAAGAACTGTTTCTGACCCAAAGGAAGAACTGGTTCTGACCCAAGGAAAGAACTGGTTCTGACCCAAGGAAAGAACTGGTTCTGACCCAAAGGAAGGAACTGGTTCTGACCCAGAGGAAGGAACTGGTTCTGACCCAAAGGAAGGAACTGGTTCTGACCCAGAGGAAGGAACTGGTTCTGACCCAAAGGAAAGAACTGTTTCTGACCCAAAGGAAGGAACTGGTTCTGACCCAAGGAAAGAACTGGTTCTGACCCAAGGAAAGAACTGGTTCTGACCTAGTCAGGTTGGGTTCTTAGTTATTTTCAAGATGGTGTATCTTGTTTGCTTCCTATGTCCTGTTCCAGGAAACAGGAAGTAGAACATGAGACTTCCTGTTTAACTGTAGATGTGACTCGGTTTATTTGGCTTGACACTCAGTTTTGCCGGCAGTCTGTAATAACGAGTCTCTTGCCTTTAAGCTAATCTATTTCCTGTGGATCAGGAAGTAGCAGCGATTAGTAAGGATCAAGAGTTAAAGGCAGTCGGTCCAGATGACAAACCTGTGGAGGAATGAAAGTGTCTATCAGAGCCAGCAGAAGAGTTTTTGACAAAGCTGTTCAATGAGATTCTCGAGGGACAAGATGCCTGAGGAATGGAGGAGAAGTTTGCTGGTAATAATTTTCAAGAATAAGGGAGATGTCCAAAATTGTGGCAATTACAGAGGAATAAAGTTATGACTCATTCAATGAAGATAAAGGAACAAGTTGTTGAAGCCAGACTGAGGTCAGAAGTGAACAGCACTATGGTTTCATAAACATTCAAGAAAATGTTCTAAAGATGCAATCACTGCATTGTGGATGTTGATAGAAAGGTCCAGAGAATATGAGAGGAGATGCTCTGTGTTTCTGTAGATCTAGAGGAAGCGTATGACATGATTCCTAAAGAGGCGCTGTGGTTCTGCATGAGGAAGTCTGGACAAACAGAGAAACATGTCACAGTGGTGAAGGACATGGATGTCAGACTGTGGTGAGGTGTGCTGCAGGAGGGACAGAGCAGTTCAAGGTGGAAGTGGGACTTCACTAAGGATGGGCTCTGAGCCTTTCCTGTTTCTGTGGGGATGGACAAGTTGATGACATGAATCTTCATATTCATGTTTGCAGATGACATTGTGATCTGTGGTGAGAGCAGAGAACAAGTGGAGGAATGAAGGCTGTAGAAAGACACAATGCATAATGAAGTGGAGACAAGAGGTTACAGGGAACAGAAATAAAGATAGTGAAAGATTTGAAGAACCTCGGCTCAACAGAAACGGGTCCAAGATGTGAAAGAGTTTTAGTGAGAATGAAAGGAAAGGTGAGCGACACGGTGGCAGTGATGAAGATGTTGAGCTTGTCTTTAGGAGAGACATGAATGTAGTCGGAAGACAGGGTTACATGGAGACGGACGACTCGCTGTGGGAACCTTTGAAGGGAAAAAGCCAAAAGGAAAAGAAGAGGTTAAACTCAGAGATATCTAAAAGAAAAACTCAATCATCCATATGTGCATATTCAAGTCCACAACATGAAAAATAACTCAATTTACATAAAGATTACAAGATTTTGTCACAATCTCAGTGAGACACCCTGAGCAGAACAATTACCATAAGATGAAATCCCTACAAACTAGCAGCAGCTGGTGGAACCTGCCTTTAATCACAGCAATCTGCAGTTATAATGCGATAGAAGCAATAACTGATTCAGCCGAGATGCACTTAGACATGATGGGATTTAGACTAAATCTGAGCAGGTTCCACTGGGTGACCCTGACCTTGACCTGACCCTGACCTTGACCCTGACCTTGACATAACCTCTAAGCCAAAAGAAAATACAGAAAGTGTTTTTATTCAGACCCAAAGGCTAGAACTGATTCTGATCTTGATTCTGATCCTGCTGAGCTTCAGATGTTTCTCGAGCTGCAGCTGATCTGAAAGTTCTGGTTTTAGTTTTACGGGTCAAACGGACTAAGTGTTCTGGTGCCTCTCAGACCCAAACAGCCCGGTTCCTCCTGTGTGACTGGGGAGGTTCTGTGGTTGGAATCAGAAACTAAATCCAGACTCCAGTTGAACGACGGTCACTCACAGCAAACCCGGGAGGCGGGGTGCCGGGAGGCGGGGTGCCGGGAGGCGGGGTGCCGGGAGGCGGGGTGCCGGGAGTGCCGGTATCCGCGGCCCGGCTTCCATTCAGACTCAGAACCGGACTTTTCACTCCGACCCAGAAAGTTCTGTAGCTTTGAACAAAGGAGGCTCTGCAGGAACGAGAAGAGAGAAGCACCTGAGGTCCAGACTGAGCTGCAGAACCGCAGCAGAACCTGGAAGGACCCATCTGAGCCTCACTGGAACTGGACCGCTCCAACGGTTCTGTCTCGGTCCGGCTGCCAGGTCACCTGGATGTTGCTCTTTGGAGAACCAGAGGAGTGGGAGACGGCAGAGTTCTGAGGACACAAACATTAGAGGTCTCTGATTCTGGTGATTCCTGGAGTTTCTGCAGAGTGATCTGGTTCTGGACCCTGGTTCTGGACCCAGGTCACTCCGTTTTTGGTACCATCAGGTTCCAGGTTCAGTCATGCATTTCAGTGCAGGTGGGAGGAGCACTCACGGGTTTCTGGAAGCAAGCGAGGAGCCGGGCCGGACCAGAACCCAGTAGAAACGAGCCCACAGCAGACCGGCCTCCCGGCTCTCTGGCCTCCAGCAGGAACCCGATAAATGGACCGGAACTCGGACCCTGGAGAGAGACTGGAGAACAGGAAGGCTGTCAGACTGGGACCAGAACCCCCAGTCCAGTAAAGATCCTGCTGTTCCATGATGGGAGGTTCTGGTTCTGTGGAACAGAACCCACAGCAACCAGAGACAGGAGGAAGATCAGTGACGGACCACTTCCTGCTGCACACCGAGAAATATAAGATAATTGAGAAACAAGCGAACCGTGTCTGAGTTTTATTTTGAAAGGCAGAATACTGCTGAGTCACTACTGGGGTGGGGGAGAAGCTGGTTACCAGTGGACAGACAGGTTTCTGTTTGTAGAAAACGAACAAAAACCTAATTATGACATTTTGTCTAGAGGACCAGTCAAGTGTTTTTACCTTTGAAGGCTCGGCGACTGACCTTTGACCTGTCCTCCATGCACGGGGCCGCTCCGCTCCGCTCCCACGGTGAACGGCGCGGCGGCGGTCTGGGGAGCGGCGTGGTGGTTGGGGGTCATGTCCGCGCAGCTCTCCGACACCAAGCCTGAGGGGCAGCGAGCGGCAGGAGCGGCCCAGATCAGAACCAGCAGCAGCGCGATCCGCTTCATGATGCGCAGCAGCTCCAATGCTGCAGGAGAGGAGGAGACAGAGCTACACCTGCTGAGGGCGGGCTTTGTGCCGACAGGTGATACGATGGGAGGGAAGCCGGCAGAAGCTGCAGTTTCTGGTTTCCTGAGCATCAGCTTGCCTGAGGGAGCAGAGGGAACTTCCTGTTTCCTGCAGGAAGCTGGAGGCGGTTCTGTGCCGTTCACAGGCAGAAAGAGGAAACAACTAAAGTTAAACTTTTTCCCTGAACAGAAGCAGGAAAATCAGCGATGACTCTGACAGCTGGAGTATTCAGCTAGACGAGCTGGACGTCTCCCAGATCCATCATCCAGTCTGACCTTCCAGTCTGACCTTCCAGTCTGACCTTCAGCTCCTCCTGGCTTCACCAGCATGAAGCTCTCAGCTTCCTGGAACCGTTTGAATGCGAAGATGTTCTTGTGTTAAAATTTGTTTCCTGTCTGGAGCGCACACTGCAGCCAGAGAGGCGGTCCAACCAAATCCACGGCGCTTCTGATTGATTTCTCAGTAAAACATATCATCATGTCAACATGGCTGCTGCTGTAGAGCAGTGCTTATGCTTGAGACAAGTGTTGTCCAACATGCATGGTCTGGATTATTTGGCTAACATCTATGGGGACAATCAGGGGACCATTTCCATAGCCAAAAAATCCTGTGTACAGACAAAGATGTGAGCATGTTGATATTAAATATAATTTGGTCATATCAGTTATAAATGAGAGAAAAGGTTTTCTAGAGTATTGTCCAACTAATGAAATGGTTGCAGACATACTAACCAAACCAACAAAGATTCAGTTGAGGAAGTAGAAAATGTTTGTTTGGCGTCTCATGAAGGTATTTTAGTTGAAATATTAAGTCAGAAAAAGTTACCCAAATGTGAGCAATGGGGTTGTTGACATGATGAATGTTTTGTGCTCTCATTTGTTGTTGGATTATTGCGTCACATGACCCGACCTGTCTGGTTTAACACACTGTGTAAAAATCAGGGTTTTGTCTTTCAAACAAAGGAAACATGAAACCAAACTGTGTCACGTGGAACGCTGAGCCAAAAGTGATTCTGCTAACACAACAATCGTACAGGATCATGTGGCTTGTACCTCCATGAAGATGTCAAGTCTTGTAGGGTTAAGGAACACATGAAATTATGAAGTTATAAAAAAGTACAATACAAATATAAATCAAATTTGTCAGACATCAAACAGATAAAGGCAAAAGGCCTTCAGTTCTCACATCAATTCAGATCATTATCGGCTCAGAGCTGCTTTCCCTGCTTGATATTCCTCAGTTTTAAGGTCCTGAAGCTTTAAGCTTTACAGCAGTGGATGAAGAATTTGGCGAAGATCAGCTGGTTGTTCAGAATGATGTTGGTTCTTCTGTCTCTGGGTGGGCAAAAATATTCTATTCTCTCTGTTTAAGGGATGATGTAAGGAAAGTTTTAATGAGATCCAGTTTTGATGAAAGTTTCCCCAAAATGTTCCAGTTGGTCTGTTGCTTCAAAAGGTCCAGTTGTTGGTGTCATAGTCGATGCATCACTCATCACCTGGATCACCTGGAGAGAGAGGTGAGGGTTAGGGTTGATGAGAACAAGGTGAGTGTTTTTATTAATGGTATATTATTTGTATATTTTGTTGCTCTTACAGTGTGTTCACATACAAAAGCATTCATTAAAGAACTGTGATTCGATCGGGACACTATATTCTCCATTGCCATTACCCTGTATATATGTCTGGAGTTGTTATCTTAACCTTTCTTTAGTTTTACCCTTCATCCTGTCATCATGGAAAAATTATATATAATGATAAAGTAACATTGTTGTTGTCACCCTGTGGTTTGGACTACAAAGTATTATTTTTATTGAGCTTAACCAATTTTGATGATTATTTCTTCAAAATCTCTGAAGTTGTTCAGAAGAGCAGCAGGTGAGGCAGCATTGAGTCGAGCCTCACCTGGATTCATCAACCTCTGGCCCACTGCACTGCTGCTACTCAGCAGCTCCTCCTGTCTGACCGCCGCCACTAAAACGCTGACAAAATATTTCATATAGCAACTGATTTTACAACATTTAGCTCATCTATATAACCTTCAGCGCTTTTCCTCTCCAACTGTGTGTGTAACGTGTTTTGAGCTGAGCAGAAACCAGGGAACAGACTGGAGGTGAGGCAGGCAGTTCTCTGGCCTCATGGCAGGGGGCGCTCATGATCCCAGACACTGAGACTGCACACTGCAGAGGAAGAGACAGTAACAGGAAGATAGCCTTGGAGCTAGCCATGGAGCTAGCCCTGGGGCTAACCACGGAGCTAGCCTTGGAGCTAGCCATGGAGCTAACCATGGAGCTAGCCAGGGAGCTAGCCATGGAGCTAGCCTTGGAGCTAGCCTTGGAGCTAGCCATGGAGCTAGCCAGGAAGCTAGCCAGGAAGCTAGCCATGGAGCTAGCCAGGGAGCTAGCCAGGGAGCTAGTCAGGGAGCTAGCCAGGAAGCTAGCCATGGAGCTAGCCAGGGAGCTAGCCAGGAAGCTAGCTAGGGAGCTAGCCACGGAGCTAGCCTTGGAGCTAGCCAGGGAGCTAGCCATGGAGCTAGCCAGGGAGCTAGCCAGGAAGCTAGTTAGGAAGCTAGCCATGGAGCTAGCCATGGAGCTAGCCAGGGAGCTAGCCAGGGAGCTAGTCAGGGAGCTAGCCAGGAAGCTAGCCATGGAGCTAGCCAGGGAGCTAGTCAGGGAGCTAGCCAGGAAGCTAGCCATGGAGCTAGCCAGGGATAGTCGGGAGCTAGCCAGGCTAGCCATGGAGCTAGCCAGGGAGATAGCCAGGGAGCTAGTCAGGGAGCTAGCCAGGAGCTAGCCAGGGAGATAGCCAGGGAGCTAGTCAGGGAGCTAGCCAGGAAGCTAGCCATGGAGCTAGTCATGGAGCTAGTGATGGAGCTAGCCATGGAGCTAGCCTTGGAGCTAGCCTTGGAGCTAATCGCAAAATTAACATTAAGCCTAACACCAAACTGCTGCAGCAGACTGAATGTCTTGTTCTTTGTGTTGGAAATATTTGAGTGTTTTTTTTTGTCTGTTTCATTGTTCTTAATTGCTATGACAACGAGTCTGAGCTAAGCTACGCTAATACAGAGAAAGAGGAAGAAATGTTGTTGAGTTGGACTTTAACTGTTCCTCCCTTTGCTGTGGAGCATAAAATGAATCATATCTACAGATCCAAGTTTGACTCAGTTAACAGATCAATGTGCAGCGCGGCTGTGGATGACATGTTTGATGACATGTACAGGAATAATGTTTTTGCCTTCCAGCTTTTCCACATGCGCCAAATTTCCTTACATAAACAATAACATGCAGGGGGTCTATATTGTAAATCCGATGATGATTTAGTTGGTGCCTCACAGGTTATGAACCTCACTGCATGTCACTGATCAGCCTGATATGACATTTTTCTACTCGAACTAAATCCTTGTTATCCATGAAAAAGTAAATTGTGGAATATGAGTGTTGAGCTGCTGAGTAAAGTATCTTTAATCATCTTCTTTATCTTCCTGCCGATGCTCCAATTAACAGTTTAATGTTTCTTTCTTCAGAAGGATTTCATCTTACATTGAAGTCTCCACCACAGACGACTCTGAGCATCATGTCTAAAATGTGTTTCTAAAATGTCCACAGTGAAGCTGCTTCTCCAAATGTGCTTTTGCAGACCTGAAGCCAGTGACTGTGTTGTCACATCACTGTCCCATGTGGCTTCATTAAAGAATAATCATTTTAAAAAAATCAACAAAACGTGTTAAAATGAATAATCAGTCATTATTATTGTTACAACAAGGTGTTGTGCAATTCATTGTGTTTCAGATCCATTAAGAAATAAAAAGCGACTCAAAGAGCGACTGAGGAGAGCAGGAGTTTTAATGATCTCCTCAACCATCGCTGTGTTCATGAGAGGCTCATCAATCATCCATCAATAAATATCAAGCCTAGAAACTTGATATCGTAACAGAACTCCATGTTTTTAACGTAATGTCTGCTCAGCAACGGGTGTCCTGCAGCGATAAAGACACGGAGAGTAAAAATGGTTCTTCTGCTGTTTTGTTTTTGCCAAGTAGGAGGGACGACCTCTCCAAGATGGCCGCCCAAGCAGCCAATGAGGGGCCTGCTCTTTATGAAAGTCCCTACTAATGGCAGAGCTTCATAAACCACGCCCCACTTCCCAGGCTTTCCTCCCAGGAAGTCTTTAGGAAGCTGAGCTGCTGGTTTTCCTCAGATTCAGAATTGCTGACGCCCTCAGAGCTGCATCAGCTGGATCAGCTTTTAACTTTTATTATCTTCATTTTTGTGCATTTTTCTGTTTAATTTTTATGGAGCTAAATTCTACAAGATTCATAGACTTTCTCACCACCAAGTAGTTTTTCCTCTCACAAGAATGTGCCTGACCTTTACCCTGCAACCACACCTTCACCTGCTCAGATTTCACCAATGTGTGTGTGTGTGTGTGTGTGTGTGTGTTTCCACCTTTAGACTCGGCTCTAAACTGCTTTCCTGCAGTTTTCTGACTCTGGTTGTTTTTCTTGTTTCTGATTGGACTCTTCAATCGTCCTCATCCAGAATTAGTCAAATTTCTTCTCCCAACAGAGAACCAGGTTTTATTATTCTCTCTCTTAAAACTCTTCATCTGAGTTTACAGCTTTGGAGGTGATGATGATGCTCTGAGCAGCTGACCAATCAGAGAACAGCTCTTAGTAACCTTTGCTCTGGTTGGACTCTGGATCTTCAGCAGCAGGCAAACACAGGGTCCTCGTTCTCCTGGCAGTTTGATCCACAATGAAGTTCCCTTCTCTCCCTTCCATTCTGCTGCTTGGCGTCTTCTTCCTGCAGCTGATAGTGGACACTTTCTTGCCTTCCCAGGTGAGCACAGCCACTGGCTGAACATGCGAACCATCATAGAGGAGCTTGTGAGGAGAAATCACAAGGTGACCGTCCTGGTGCCGGACGCTTCGCCGTCGGTCAACTATAACAGCAGTCGAGATGCCGCCAAGTTCAACTTCTTGGTCTTCAAGGTAAAAATATCCAACCTATGAATGTCCATCTATCAGTATCAGTGTTAAACATTACCTAGACTACTTGTGAGTGATTCCACTTCCTAACCCTTGAGCTCACTGACAGTATTGATCAATAACTGATACTCTGATCAGCTCCTTGTGTTTCTCTTCTCAGGTTCCATTCAGTAGATCAGACATGAACAACATTATGCAGGATTTTATTCACTTCTCCATGTACAAGGCCCATAACTCCTCCCTGCTGGACCGTTTTCTAGTGCCGCTGTCAATCATGGGGAAGTTCTCCCAAATTGGGAAGCAGCAGTGTGACGCCATGCTGAAAAATCAGCAGTTGATGGCGACC